AAGTTATGTCCTAAAGAGTTTAAAGCTGTAAGCTCGCAACATATTTTTAATTGCAACAAATGTGTTGATATTTATGCTTTTAACTATATATAGATACGTGAAAGTTGTGGATTTTATAACATTCTATTTTTATTAACAACACTTTTTGATTGTTTATTTACTTTATCTCTTATTATTTTTATTGTCATAAACTAAAATTAAAAAATAATGAAAAACTTCAATTATTTTGTATAAGTACTTTAAACATTCAAAATGATTTATGTAAAGTTTTCTATATTCAGAGATTAATTTAGAAAAGATTTAGAAGAAACAGGTGTTTTATTTACACACACACACACACACTCTCTCTCTCTCTCTCTCTCTCTCTGCATCGCAACGTAACTTATATAAGTCATTCTTTAGTTCTTTAGAAAAATTTTCGTATAGAAACTTTATTGCAACAAGTATGAAAAAAGATTGGAAAATTTTAAAAGTCTAACAAAATACAAGATTATATTGCTTGTTGAATTATAACGATTCAAGACATGGGTCAGCCTTAGGTTAGCCTGAATTTATGAAACCACGAGCATCTCTGCTTCAAGCGTGACCGGATTACAAAAATCGTCTGACTTTGGAAAGGTTTTTGTCGCGAAGTTCTGACAATCTGATCGCCCGTAGGAAAATGTACAAAAACAAAGGTTGAATTTATTTTTATTTAAATTTAATTTAATTTATTTAAATAACATGTTCTTTTATACGGTTTTTATTAAAAACACATATATTAATTCATGAATGTATACAGACTATAACTGTATTCTGCATTAAACTAAAGAAAATTATATGAAATATCTCGTCCTGTAAATGACTGTCACATTTATCTTTAGTTTCCGTCATTTGCGATGTTTTTATAAATCTTATTTTACTTCATAGAGATATCGTAACATAGTTATGATAAAAATTATTACACATATCGACGTAGAATCTCGCGAATGGGTAAGAGGATGCGCAAACTGTTTCCTTATGAGATCGTAGAACGTTATACTGAGAATGTCGAACGGATCTGGCGATGTTTCCCAGATTCCAGGTCATTTAGAAACGTTTCGATTTGCTTACTCTCCTCTCTCCAAGATGTCGTAAAAATGCGATATTATTGCCGTTGCTGGCTGCTGAAACGCCTCGAGGAAGACGCCGTAATTTAACGCACGTCTCCAGGCTCGTATTAAAAATTATGACACGTTTGTGGTGTACCGTTACTACGCAACACCGTCGACAGATCACACGCGTTCGTTTCATATGTGATAATAATTGTAGCAGGTAGCCGACAACAACTGTAATTAGTCTACAACGCCGGATCGCGATTAAGAAACTGTTTAACGATAAGATAGATACACGCTCGATCCCGATCGAGTTCTGAGAGTTAAACGGCCATTTCCGCTTTTCGATTAAATCGCTATTAAGTTAATCCTACACACGACTTTGATTAGTATGTACCTGAACGGGTGAGAAGGCTCCATCACGTGCATTCTTGATCATACTTGATGACGCTGCTTGAAATATTGTTCGGTATTTTATAAGATGTGAAATTGTTGCGAAATTTTTGCGGACCTCCCTGACTAGTTGAGATGATTGGAGTGTAGGGTAATATATATTTATTAACGCGTTAACGTTAAGATGAATAATATATAATCACCGGACATTATGTCACGTATTGTTACTATGTACAATATCTTATATTAATGGCTTGGTAATATCAATAAAAAATAAGACCTGAATTTCCAATCAGGAATGGCATTGGAATAACGACTTTACCTCGATTCAAGGGCGTGGGATTTAAGAGATATTCACTAAAATATAATGAAAAAGAGAAAGAAAAAATGTTTTTATTTTCTACATTAAATATTGATGAACTTTTGCGTATGAATTATCACGTACACTTATTAACTGACATTGTAAATTATATCAATAAAAAATATATTATACATTATATATTATGCATTTTCCGTAGAATATATTATATAATAAAATCCAGGTTTTATTTTTTATTTATTAGGTACACTTCTCGTGTAAATATTAACAAGTACAAATATTAATATTATAATTATAGCATATTATATTTATATTGATTATTAGAACTCGAGAAATATATGAAACAAACTTGTGGCGAAAGATTTGACGACCGACACATTCCTTTCGAGGGAACATCTCGAGCGTCGCGTCAAACACGATGTCTGCGTATAATCGCCGTAATCAGAAGGGGAATGAAAAATGTAATTCGACGTTAACGGCAAGCCACAGGCAGCAAGATGATCGTGGCAGTGGAAGGTGACAGGCGACTGCGACGGGGTGACAGGGTATACGTCGAGAACGTGCGACGGAGAGGCGCGTTTCGCGTGTTTTGAAATTCCATTACCGCGCGAGATGAGGTCAGTGCACGGGAGCGATTCATTAAGCGTGATATTTTCTCGTGCATTTCTCTACCTGCTTTAACGCGCCCTGACTGTCGGGGAATGCCTCCGCCGCGTAGGTCCCCCAGGCTCCGCCGCCGCCGAATTGCTGGTTTTCTTGGTCCCCGATGAATTCGCACCGAAAGGGGACGATTTGTAAAACAAAAGGGCACGTAGGTATTCGCGGTCTCGCATAGCAAACAAATTACAGAAGTCGTCCCTTCTTCGTTGTTCTTATTATCTTTACCTTTACATTTCTATGAAACGTTGTGAGAAAAACGTTTGTGTAAAATGAATTATTGATAATTATGTGAACGATTACTGATAATCTATTTACATCCTGCAACATCTATATAATCGCAGTTCTACCATTGTAGATTAATTTTAATTTCAATTCAACTTACCTACTCTTCATCTTTTTTTTTTTAGTTCTAAGAAATAGAAAAAGATAAAAAATAAGTTCACTGAGAGAAAAGGTTTTGGTATTTATTTGAAGACACTGGTAGTGTCCAATAATATCGTGTAATGGAAATTTGCTATCACCTTTATTTATTGCATTAAAAGAAACTAATGGTATATTTGGACCAAGAGTACAAGAAACCTTATTTACACCAATAAATGTTATTGTAAAAGCATCGAAATCTGGTAAAATGACTTCAGATAATTAAATAAATTTCCTTTTACAATACATTTTCAGATACAGTTTTACTATTAAAAAATTAATATAAATTTGCATAAACGCGCGCGAAATAATATAATGAAATTATAAATCTCATTTCTATGGATATATTTTATATTTTATTTAAGAATCTTATAACACAAGTCATAAAATTATAAGATATTAAATCTTAAGATATTAAAGTCTTAAGACATTAAATAAGGAAATAATGTACAGAGATGAATAAAAAACGAAGTTTACTCACTTTAAGGAGAAATAATAAAAATTATTAACATCATATATGATTTGTAATGTTACAAATATCAATCATGTCAATTTCCTTATTCATTAATTTATTTATCTTATTGTTCCGACGACAATTACTTACGCATTTGAGCATGGATAGTGTAAATACCGAAATGTTAATAATTAATTCTCGCGAAAACGATATATTGTAATATAAACTTTATTACACATGATAAAGTACTCTTGAAACCGTACAACTTTTGTTTAAAAAATTTTTTCACCCTTTAAACATGAGTTAGGGCACATTTAAAAAAATACGTGTTTCTTAGATTTTCATGTTTAACAACATATTTCATGGAGAATCAAATCGGTTCCAGACAGTTGTGAAACTTCCCTTGTTAGACTATAATAGTAATAAGGCTCAATAAATTTAAAAGAACAGAAAGAGAAAGGGCTACGAGCCTAAGAATAAAAATTGAAAACGTTAATAAATAAACATGTCATTTAGTTAAAATATATTCTGTTTTTTATTATAAAAAAATATTTTTTATTAATCAAGTGTCGAAAAATGTCATTTAAGGTTTTAAGTGCAAAATATATATCTATTTTTTAAATATAAATGTATGGAAGATGATATCACGGATGGATGACAATTGGTCTGATTTCATCCTCAGTTATACCACAATATTGTTTAAAACCGCACCATGTTACATTGGTAAGTATTATAATTTATGTACTACGTAGATGCAAAAAAAATATAAATTTTACATTTTAATATATTTTTCAGATATTGTCACCAAAGATAAAATGTTTTTAAGAGTTGTCATCGATTAATGCACAATGAAACATTGTAGGCACATAATGAGATACAATAGTCGTATAGAATTTAATTTATCACGCCCTTACAAAAAATCCAAGAAAATATAAAGAAGGTTCAATCTTTCTATACTTCTTCGAAAAAATGAATTTCGATGCGTATTTCTACAGTTACGACTGTAAACTACGTATTTTTAACTATAACGAATACTATGGGGAACTTGCAGTGTACCTAGATTTGACAGAATCACGTCATAAAGACACTTGCATAGTATGCCCATATAAAATACAAATAAGTATCAGTCGTGTCTTCATCAATTCAATACATTTTTTAATATAATTCATCCAGCTCAGTTCTTCGTTAAATATTTAGAGAGTCAATGTACTCATGAGAGCGAAAAAGAGAAAGAGAGAAAGAAATCCTCTGGAAAAAATGTATATTAACATATTTTATACATAATTAATAATATTATAATATATATATTATATATATAATAATAATATATATATATAAATACAATAGTATTATATATAAATTATATATAATTTTATATAATTTTGTATAATTATGTATATTTAATATAATTATGTATGAAATATTTTTTTCTTTAAATAAAATTTCAGAAAAATGTAGCATGAAAAAAATAAACAAGATACATCTATTTTAAAAAAGTCATATTGACTTTATTTTTATTTGTCTTGATGTTCTTTATTGAGTGTAATGCACTTTAATGAGTATCTTATCATCATGATCATAATCATGGTGGAAGTAACAAGGTGTGCTCATTTCACGGACGCATTTTCGTCACGTTCTGCGCAGTGTCCTGAAAACCGCCATCTTGCAATCACAGCTGATCGGTATAGTGTTGTCAGTGATTAGATTAGATTTATTTTGATCATTACGATGCCATCGTGTGCAATAAAAAAATGTAAAAACAATTTGCGGAATACAAAAAACAAAAAAATCAGTTTTTTTACATTTCCGAAGAAAACGGAAATAATCGAAAAGTGGAAACTTGTGTGCAAAGAAAATGTTAACCCTAAAACCGGTATGTATATTCGTTAGTATGATTATTTGTAGTTAACACACGATATTGTAATTAATAAAATGTAATTGAAATTGATTTATTAAGTGTATTATTGATTTGTCTAGCTCGTGTCTGTTCGGAACATTTTCATCATTCACAATTTGAAGATCAATCGTGGTTAAAAAATTTAATTGGAGAATCTGGGAATATACGAGTAAGACTCGAAACGTGATATAGTTCCACTGGCAGCCATAGAGAACAACCAAATTTCCATAGATAACGATTTGGGTATACATATAGTCAATTTTTAACATTTAAAGTGATTATTATAACATTAAACATTTCAAGCGATAATTTTTATAATATATACCAACAGTACTCGTCTTGTACTTTGCCTTCTTTTATGTATTAAATATATTTTCAGAAGCAGATGTTGCACAACCTGTTGCCCATTGCTCGTTTAATCCAGATACGGATTGTGCTGCGTAAAAGAAAGATTTCAAAATTTACTGTTTGCGTGTTTGAACATTGATAATGGTCTGATCTTGACCGAAATGTACGTCTGTTTTATTATTTTTGTTTTCTCTATTTGTCTCTTTGCGGTTAATATTAAATGTTATAACTTTAATAATTGTTGTTTATTTATTTCACATTCTGGTTAAATCTGTAACGTTAAAAATTTCAGGCTCGTAGCCCTATTATTTCTTGTATATATATTTTATTGATTAATTATTTTATGTTCTTTGTTCTTGTTGAAATTAAAAAAATATATCTTGAATTTTAATAACGAATTGTTTTAATTTCACAACATTCAAAATTTCTTGCTCGTGGCCCTTTTTGTTATTTTTTTAAAAAATATATCTTTTTTTTTGTAACATTTATTCACTGTAGTTATTATTCCACTTTCTTTGTATGAATCTTCCCTTATTATATGCATTTGAATTGCTCAAGATGGTTGAGTTCAGTGTCGCTCTCTCATTGGCCAGCGAAGAATGTATGCGCATTGGCACACCTTGTTACTTCCACCATAATCATAATAAAGTGCCAAATTACTCAATAATTGTATAAACTATGTATAATTATATGCGAATGTGTTTGTATGTAATTTTGTATGTGCGTAATTTTTATATAAAATATATAAATTAATATTTTACACTTAGGCTAAATCAGTGCAGCAGCTTTAATATGCACCAGTATACGCTAGTGCGTCCAATCGAACCGAGATTAAAGTTAATCTACATTGGTAAAAATGGGCAAAATCTATAAGGGCATAAGACGAAAATTTAAAAGAGATAGAAAATTGATGAAACGACTTATGTTATTTCGACGATTACGTAATCGTAAGAGTTTTATCAAATTATCACTGACCAGTTTTAAATAGGATAAAGTTTAGCCTCCTAACACGCATTGCTGCACGTGGTTAACATTGTAGTTCAATTCCGAGCGACATGTCAATGTATACTGACAGTTGAAGATGTCGATATCATTTAAATTTATTATATTTAATTGTGAGTTCTTATGATTATTATATGGCTTCGCGACACGCTTCATGTCCTATGGTGATTAACAACGCTGCATCCTTGTCAAGTTGCGAGTGACTTAATCATCGATGACATGTAAATCAATCATATTGTAACTTTATTGCTGAGGATGACTCCAAAGAGAGTCGAAACGTCCAAATACAGAAGACTTTAAGTTAACATCTGAGTATGGTTTTCACCTATCTTTGCGCCGTTCACCGTTGCTTGACTCTCACTAGCCTAATTTAGTCATACTTTTAAATTGTAGTTCTTATCATGACAGCATGACAGTAAGTAATATACCCGTTGTCCGTTATACCACCCCCGTCTTCTGCGAAGTTAATCCCTCGCGTGTCTCCATTTTCGGGACGGTTTATCATAAGAGCAGGACGCGCCACCCGGAGGCGTCCATTACACTGTAACCAGATTAAGATATAAACGATGGATATTAAGCGCTATTCTTCGGGTCGTGTTTGCCCCCCAGGCGAGGGAAGAATTAAGACATAAACAAGCGTCCGTATTAACGCTCTCGTCATTGCGCCCCGATGAAAAATTCGCTCGTGTCCCGTGCGATTGCGCATTGCCGAGAAATCTCTACTCTCGAACGAAATACTTTCCGGAGCCATAAATATCACGGGAGTCCGCGCGCTCTCCGTCCGCGAAGGAAGAAGGGTTTCTACGACCCTAAATCAAGGTCGCCTTCGCGCTGCCCGCGCCACCGTCGCCGTCGTCGGCGTTCCTTTCGCCCCCTTCGCTTTCCCCGCCATCCTCTTAACGCTCCTCGGAGGCACGAGCCTCTCCATGAGAGATATGATTTAGTACTTTTGACGGGATTAATAATTTCCAACGGGCGAGGGAGGTAGCAGATGTCGAGACATTTTCGCGCCCCGTTCTTCCCGCTCGTCGTCGCCTCCTCGTTGTGCCGCCGGCTTTCTTCGCCTTTACTCTCCGCCTTGACAAAGGTGAATCTGTCACGGCTCCATGACGGATTTACCGCACCCGCCTGCGCCCGCCTCGAGAAGCCACTCGCGACGTAACTCATCGCCGAAAGTCACGTATTATTACTACGTAGGCGGATGCGCGAAGGAACGCAATGTAATAGCCTCACATGATTATAAAACATATCTGTCCGCGAAGAAATCAAGGTGCGATACCATAGGATTCCTTTGTCAAAATGATTTCGTCTTCTGTGGCTTTCTCTATAGATAGCGGATATGTGCAATTAATTCAAGTTTGCTACTTATTTGCTTGTGTTTTATTTTATGACAGTAATTGCCCTGATAATTATCTTGATTTAGATTAATTCCAAAGTCGGAAGATAATCAAGGGAAAGAGAATCTTACAATAAGTATAGAAATATACATTTTATATAGATTATATCTTTCATCGAAAAATTTATAAAAACTCAAATGAATTATATAGAAATTACATCCTGCATGTTTGCGTAAAAATATTTGTATATATAAGATTACGTTTTAAAAATATGAGAATATTTCGTGTGTCATCGATCTATCATGATTTTCGTAAGAGAGACAGATTTCATTTTGATAATATTTATTATTCGACGATGAAAGTCTACAGTTGAGATAGGTTCAAAATGAAAGACGAGACCAACTTTTGTCATTGGTGACGATACTAATCTTCAAAGGTAACCCGCTCCTACCACACCGTGTCGACGAAGAGAATCTCTCCCGCGCAGACAAGCTCAGAGTATTCGTTTTCTTTTATCTCGCCTGGCACGAATATATTCATCGTCAGACTGGTATTTTTGTATGCCACACCGCTATCTTTGTCCATTCAGCTATGTCTTCATCTTGAATTTAAACATCTCTTTTTGTAGAGAATGGATGAAACTTCATGTAAACTTTTAATAATAACTGAACGGAATTAATAATATTACTTTTTTTAATATATTACTTTCATTATAAATTTTAAAAAATGCTATATTTGTTTACTTAAAATAATAATTAAGTTAGTACGAAAATATATGCAGTGATAAAATTCTAAAATAAAATTGATGTAATGAAAAAATGTTGAAAAGGAATGTAATCGATAAGATTGAATTTATAGTGATAAATGAAAATGAAAATTTATTTTTTGAAAATCGGAATTGCATAACACATGTCGGAGTAATAGGAAGGCTTAACGATACAAAGATCTAAAAAAAATTCAATTAATCTAAAAGTTAAAAAATTTACGAACCTGAAAGATCCATTATCCGGTGATTCGAGATTCTGAAGCCGAAGATCTACCGATAAAGAATGTATCTCGCACGATCCACGTATCGGTGCATTCATCGATGCAGTCCATCATTAAGAGCTTCTGCAACTAGGAGTACCTAGAACTCAGTTCATTAGGAACACTCTACCTTTTTTTGCTGACAAATACACCTGCGGGGAACAGAAGACCCGAAAGAAAGAACTCAATCAGCGAAGAAGCGAGGTTAGCGATCGTTAAAGAATATCCAACCCGAGACTTCTTGCATCGGTAATCCCTCTCTGGTCGACGTTAATCGCGCCTACGAGTGAAGTAATCGTTAAACGTTAATAAATAAATTCCCGTAGAACAAACACGTGGCTTAACGTCTCGAAATTATTACCCTCCCGATCGTCGCTTCGTAATTAAGGCTCGACTGGACTGTCTCGGTTCGTAGAACGAACGTTTCGTAATAGGTATCCTACGGGAACAGGCGGCAAAAAGCCGCTCTCTCTCTTTCTCTCTTTCTCCCTTTCCCGGTGGGATTAACGAACCGCTTCTGTTCCTTCTCGGCTTTCTTGGTAAATCTCGCGGGTGGAAAAAGACGTCGCAGCCTAAAGTAGCTGCGAATCGCGGCCTCTGTCTCCACCACCGAAGAAAACGGATTTCTCCATAATAAGTACTTGGTTGCTGCGCACGCAATTCTCGCTTTCGCTTTATGGAATTTCAGCCATTAACCAGCGCTCAATATAGCACACCCTTTATATCGAGAACGCATCGCTCGTTTCATTAACTTCGATGTTCGGTCCAATATTTATTAATCGCCGTATCGCGGCGAAGCAATAATTTTTTCAGCAGACATTGGACGAGATTGCGCGATCGATACTTATGTAGCGTATCGACCTCTCGACAATGGCTTCGATGAAATTGGCGTTTCAATTAATCGAATTACGGCGAGTTTTAACGACCAAATTTTACGGACGGTGAGTATTCTATTTCCTCTTTCATTTTATTTCCGTTCAAGTGGTTGCTCTTCGATTCTTTTTTTTTAGATGCGAGTAATTACTTTATCTTAAAGTTACGCGAACAGATGCTGAGTAAAAATAGACTATACCGATATAAAACGAACCGCGTTTTTACAACAGAGTATTTTAGTAAGAAAAACAAGATATAAAGCAATTTATTTTCAGGTTTATCTGGAAAATTTCAATTTCCAATCGATTGGCGATCAGTGAAAGCAAATAACAGTCTTTTACGCATATATACATTTTACATTAATTTCATTTTGGCGAAAAATATTTTACCTCAACGATACTTTGAAGTAGGATTTTATTTTGCGGCGAGAATGTATACGATATTTGTTGATTGCCAACGATGGTGAGGTATCAAATAATATAAAATAATGATCCATCTCTCTATAGCAATGAGCTGGTAAAATGCGATTATTGTAGGGTCGAGATCGACAAGCGAGCAAATAAAATGTAATTTCTAGCAAGCGCGTTAACCCACGATTCCATCCCTCGATTTCAAAACACCTAGGAGTGTAGACGCAAGGTGGGAATCTCGCCCCATTCGGCGTATTCTCATGTTTCTCTAGTACCTTTCCCTTATTGCGCGTGAGTAATCGCGGATTGATTGGATTTCTCTCCACAACGCGTTCTAAGCGCACTCGACTCACGCACGAGGCAGCAACACTCGCTGGGCATGATCGGAGCAAGTAACTCGCGAAGGGGAAGGAGCGGGCCCGCGGGCTGAGAAAGAGAAGGAGGGA